GCCTTCCATCTTTCCCAGCATCAGGATCTTTTCCAAAGAGTCCTCTCTTCGCATTAGGTGACCAGAAATCCCTAATGAAAGTCTAAATGCTTCAATACTAAATATAAGAAATATATATATATGTGTGTGAATGCTAAATATAAAATATATTTTTATGTATTTATATAAACTCTATCACCATCATAGTCGCCATCTTGACTTTTTTGACCATACCTTGTGGACATCTCTGACCATTAATACTATGCTTCATTTGACCATTAATACTGTGCTTCATTTGCACTTCATTTCATGTTGTGCTTCATTTGCACAACACGCTAAGCTTAGTTAGAGTTAATCTTGGGTACAGCTTGGGGGGCTTAGTGTGTCCAATGTATCGTGCAAACTCAGAACATGGATTTATGCAGTACGCACAACCAGATTAAGGGCGTCGCTGGATCGCAGCCACTCCCATACACACGTACACGCTCTCTTCCCAAAGGGACATAACCCCCTTTTTAAGAAAAGCGGGGGGACCCACTCCATTGTGGTGATACGAGCCCCCGTTTTATACCGTTGAGTTCTCACGAGGGCAGCAAAACGCAAGACACGCCTTCTCTGGTGGGGGGAAAAAACCCTACACGTGGACCAGAAAAGGAGCTAAACGGGGAAAGGGACGGGGTCTGACCTTGCGGGCCGCCCCCAGAAGGGGCCTGGTCCTTGCTGGAAAACCCGGGACGCTCCGGGGCCTCTCCGCCGAGGGAGCCCAGCCGCGATTCCAAGTCCCTCGTCCCGGCGGAGGCTCTGCTGCTTCGCCTGGAAGCCGCCCGGTAAAGCCAATACCCAGCTCCGGCTGTTGTCACCGCCGCCGCCAGGCCCAGCAAGCCCCTTCGCAGCGCCGAGCCGCCCGACTCCCTCATGGCAGGCGGGAAAAGCTCCAAGCCTGCCGGTGGATCAGCCGTGCGGCCGCAACGGCCGGAAACGGGACGCCGCAGGGCGCCCTGGAAGAACTACAGCACGTGAGGAAGCGGCCCTCCGCCTCCTTCCTCTGCGCGCGGGGCTGGGCCGTCGTCGGGCGTCCGGGGGGCTCCGGGGAAACGGAGGCGAGAGAGGGCCTGTGCTCTGGTCAGCCGAGCCTCTGCTATCGCGGGGGGAGGGCTTTTGCCGCCCACCCCCCATGACTGCGGCGTCCCCGACCAAATCCGGCTAAGCATCGGAGTTGAAACGGAGCTGGCTTTGCTTGCCCAAACGACCTCCCCGGGTTCGGTCCAGGCGCCTTGAAGGGTTTGCCTCGGGGAGAACACGCCGGCGCACGCCCTTCAGACGTTGCCCCGCAGGGAGCAACCCGCGTCTCCCGTGGCTGCGGGGGGAGGGGGGGCGGGGGCGCCGGG